GCCCTTAACGAATGCCTACCTGAATTCCGGTCACCGTTCTATGCCTGATTCATTGATAACATTTTTCCATTATTCCAACGAAATAAGGACGAACAGAAAAGTTTGGAAAGCTTCGTTGAATAGATGAATAAACAAAATGGTAATGGCCGAATACGCTCTACTATTGAAGCGGAAGTTAACCGTTCCATATCGTTTCTTGACGTGCTGATGAAGAAGAAGCCATCTTTTGAATTTTGAATTTTCCGTATATCGGAAACCAGCGTACACCATGAGATATCTCTTCGCAGCGTCATGTGTCCCTCTTGGTTCACTTTGGAACGGTGTGAAGAATATGCGTCTACGAGCTCAAGAAACTAGCACTGTGCTAGCACTTCTTGCCTAAACGCGGAGGTTCAGCATCTTCACCAAGCGTTCCTGAATAACGGTTAGCAAACGAAGAGAATCCTTGACGAAGAACTTCTGCAACCCAGCTGAAACTGAACACTGCCTCGTCCATGTATACATATGGTGATTTTATCGTTCGTACCCCAGGTATCTCAAGAATGGCAAAACATTGGGCGACGTTTTATTTAAAATGGCCATTAATAAACGGGAAAAAGTGGTAAATGTTGTCTATGAAGTTCATGAAGAAACTGCAACAATGTGTACACTGAAAATACCTACCGGGAATTAGACATCAGAATAAAAGTGCAGTCCGTCTTAGACAGGCTGACAATTCTGGTGTTGCCCAATATGCGATCACTGAAGGGCACTCTTTCAATCAGACCATTCTAAATTAGGTGTGTTGATAAAAGAGTCCTTTCATATACTGGCAACGAAATACACGATGTGCAGTAAATGCACATGTTCCATGGTTATTAGTGAAAGCTGGGCACAGTTTCAAATTTGATATGCAAAATCGGTTCAACATAACAAAGCTCCGATTGCATTTTTTATGTGAACTTTACATTATGTTTGTTGGTTAACATTCGGTTCAGTTTAACAACGATTTGATTGTAAAGTATGAGCCAGTTTAAAGTTTTAAAGTTTCGCTAAGACATAAGCGCCTTCAAGTCGTCATTTGTACTCAGCTCAGCCCAGGTGATGCTATGGTCTGTGTTGTGAAACGCGTTGGCAATAAACGGTTTTTACCACCTGTTGTGTTTGATGCCCTGAACCGTGAATCGTTTGATTACCTATCTATAATGACTTTTTGTTTGCTACAGTTCTTGTTGCACATCCGTGACTATGTTCCACATCCATTATATAGCAACAGTTGGTGCATTTGATAAGCCGTTTGTTAGACACTTCGTTGCGCAAAGCTGCTCATCTCAGTCTGTAGTATGTTTGCCAAGCTCACAACTGTTGCTTTGTTCTGATAGTCAAGTCAGACGCCGTTCACGCTCTTACCTGCTCGATTTGCTAGCAAGTATTCTACCAATCTGTAATATAATGAGCAGTGGTTTTTCCACCCTTGCCTACATAGGACTTCAAGGCGTGAAGGTGATCAGTCAGGCAAGTTTCTATAATAAGTGGCTCTTAACATAATGATCTGTTGAGACACATCGTTGATTTAGCAAATTCTTGTGGCACTTGCATGTGTCAGAACTTCGTGGATAATGGCTGTCATCGAAATCGAAATCAGGGGCTGATTATTTCTTTGGATGGTCAGCCGTCAGGTGCATGAAGGCGAAGAGCCACTCGCATCGGACAGCGTAGCCGCACGCCTCTTCCATTCTAGCATGTTCAGAATATGCTGCCATTCTGTCACTATTATTGGGAACCAACTTACCAACTTGCTACCTGTTTCTCGACAGGCGGCTGATTTCCCTGACGCAACGCGGGGTTAATTCTTTGCTCAAGGAAAATCGTGTTAAAGACGAAGATCGTCCCTTGAGCGGATCCAAACCGTCACCTCCGAAGTTAAAAATCGACCTCTAAGTCACTTTGTCACAATTCGGTCACTGCATGATAAACTCTGACAATGTCTGACAGGGAATTTCATCTACTAGATTTAGGTATGTCAAAATGTTTGTCAGACGGAAACTTTGTCGAAGATGTTTAATTATTCAGTCTTTCATTCATTCTCGACTCTCGTGATCCTTAGCGATTAAGTTGTTAGCTCGTTGTGCGATAGGTTTCTTATAATAGATGATTGTTGCGTTTAGACTATAAATGTTAGACCGGCATTTCAGTGGTTGAATATTCCTTTTTTTCATGTCAGAGGGTGGTTTGGTTCTGAGATCTTCGAAAACGCTCTAGGCAATTGTTATTCTCTTGCTTGTTTCGATCGTGTACTTCCCCTTTGCCGAGATACGTTGCTCTGAGTTAAAAATATCCGTTGGCTCATTGTCGAGTTTTTATCATAGCATGAAACACATTAGCTGCAAGAAACAATGCACTGGTTTGCTTCCTAATATGTTTGCTGCACTCTTCAGCTTGATCGGAAGTGTTCTCACGTTAGCGAACGTTTCCGTAACTGGTTTCTTTTGTTTTACAGTTTCTCGTTCACGTTATTCATTCCGGACGGTGGCGTCCGTTGGGAAAGTGAAGGCTAAGCGCTGCTAAATGAAGTGAACGCTATCGAAGAGTCGGTTTGAGTCCAGTTTAGATTCGTTGCTTGCATAAACCTACAGAATCGAAGCGCAGAGCACTAAGGCATACGTTTCATGGCGCGAAGTTGAACCAAATCGCTTAACGCGTCACATTTTACTGACGATGTCCTCCCGGCGCCGTTGTTTCGTGTCATAAATTTCCTTGAGACAGGCAGGGACTGCGTTCCCGTGCGTTTGCCGCTTATGCTTTCCGGTCGGCAGTACAGCGACCATCGTACCCCGTTGTGACTAAGTTCATCCACTTCTGTCTGTTCGACACTGATTTCCGTTTTGGCAATTTTGACGCCCGTTCGGTCCATTGTTTGCAGCAAGTTTGCAATGGTTTGCAAGTTGACGCGTCGCATCGAGTGTCAAGTGTGTCAGTTTTTCTTCATTCGGCGAATAAGCGTTGTTGATGCGTCCGTCGAATAGATGCGTCCTTCCCCCTCTTGTATCCCTCTGGTTATTTCCTCACTCCTAATAAGGCTCGCGCGTGTTCGCGGTCTCGGAAAATATTCTGCGGTTGATCGGCGGTTTTGGCAAGCTGTCTTCTGACTGCATCGCATGCCGCCCGCCCGCCCGCCCGCTGCCACCACTCCCCCCCCATTGGTTCGTTTAGGATTTTGTACCGCTTGCTGTAAATCACCGTTACACCTCTCTCGTATAGTTGTCTTCTTTTTCTTATTCGTCTTCGCCGTTTCCGCTGCGGTTCGGTAGCATCCGTAACAGTTCGAGCGTCCAGACCGACCGCGATAGCTCTCCGGCGGGCAGTTAGTGCGAATTTCCCTCAAGTCTGTGAACTCTGTTTCGTGTTTGTTTCCCTTTGAAGCAGATACGGGTTCCCGGTTGGCAAAAACTTTTTGTGTGTGTCCTTTTGCTTGCGGAGGTGTCTGCATTTTTACTCGCCAAGTTTGTTTTTCTATTCCACACCTCGACGTTTCAGTCTTTACTCTTTGTGTTGTTCAGTGGCACGGTTGTGACTGACTTGTGACCGACAGTTGAATGCTATGTACGGGTAACTGTGATGTTTTTTTCTCTTTAGAAAATGTGCATCGGCCGGTTGCTGCTCGCTTCATTGTTTCTGTTCATCGCATTCCCTCAGTGTCAGTACTCGCTTAAAGCGTTCCTTTTCCTCCTTGTCCTGTGGCTTTACCAAAACCGAAAGACGTGCCGCATTATCTGGGAAACTTTACCGAGGGACATTAAGTAAGTTGTACATTTTTTATATATGTAAAGACGTGTATGTTCTCATAAGCGTGCATGAAGGCATTATTTCGTTGGTCCGCTCGCACTGAACGTTTCGCCCTTCGAAATCTTTAACTTCGCTTGACACAAACCGGGTTTGTTGACAGATTTGCCGGTTTGAAAATGTTACCATCTGTCACGTTATGCTTTCAAGCTCATCATCATTATTCAGTCTTATGGCCGGTACTGCTCATTTTGTAAATTTCCTGACTCAGAATGCAGGCACCGTTGGTTACAGTCTTGCTTAATTCACTCGCTTTTCATGCTTTCGAAACAGGTCAATGAGTACCACTTGGCGGGAATTCGAACACAGGCCTAAAAGCGCCGCAGTAGTTACCTAGTTGCAAATGTAGCCGTAAAATACGAACGTATTCGTCGCTGAGAACGTGGAAACGTCCAGTCATAGACTTCATGAAAGAAGGTTGTCACAGATGGAACCCAAGCAGTCTGATATCCAAACGTTGACGGATTTTTTTTAGCACCGGTCTTATACTGATTTAATAGTTGAATTAACATTTTAACACGAAGCAGCTAGAAAATTTAGCTCATTGAATATACGATATTTGCGAGACGTCCAGTAAATTTTCATTCTTTTCACCCTTCAATCCGCTAGCTCTCATTTTATTTAGGGGTTTCATTCACAAAACGTTTTACAGGATGATACCATTGCGATATTTTAAAGTTCACTCAGTGGGCATTTATTTTTTCTTTTATTCGAAACAAGTAGGCCCCGTAAAAAAAGTAGGAAAGTTCGTAACCTTCGGAGTTTCTTCCTTTCACTTTTATGATGGAGCCATTTCTGACGCCCTTCTTTTCATTAGGTTAATGGTGAGAGCGCTGATTTTCATTTCCATATCATCATGTAGGAGCGCATTGTTTTCAACGCAGAATCGACACAGCTATGTGACAAGTACAGTGTGTGGTTTTCTGTTTCCTTCTCGCAGAATGGTACTAATTTGTCATCTTTGGAAGGAAAAAAGGCGAGTGATCAGGCCGGAGCTCGAGCCCGGGACTTCTCGGTTCTGCGTCCAGCACTCTACCGACTGAACAATCCCTTTGACTGTAAAAGTTAGGCGTTGTACGCACCTTTGTGCGATTAAGCTTGTAGCTTTTACTGAAATTTTAGCGAATTTAAATTTTACCTTTATTTAGAATTGCCCGCAGTGGCCAGTACGTAGCACGAGAGTCGGCGAGTAGGTTACTCTCATTAACTCCCGTAGATTTCTATCTACTTTCTTCCATTGCATTTTAACCTCAACTTATGGCACTCACTGGAAAATCGTCATACGTCAGAAAGACCACTCAATAGTTCAGAGTAAGGCAATGTCGAAGGTTTTATCGAGAAATAACGCAGTTCATGATATCCGGCTAGATATTTTACTGGCCATGAAGAGGCATATGAATGCTGTTGCCCTGGTAAGCAGTGAAGGCAGCGGGCACTCTCTCCTGACCGCTTTCGTATGCAATACAGCTACGAATGCCGGCATCTTTCCTTAACGCAGGGAAGTCTAAAGTTGTGTGGAGCCCATCCAGCAAGCTGATCTACAAGTGGAACAGGAAGGTAAAGTGCTTCAGGTGGTTGACCAGTTTAAGCATCTCAGCTCCACCTTCTCCATAAGTTGCAGCATGCCGCCTGAGTTAAGTGAGAGTGTCCTCCTAG